GATGGTATCATAGTGGATGTTAACATAATGAGTTTTAACGTAATGCATTACGACTTATAAGAACAAATCATTGTACAATAAGGATGGAATTGATCGATCGATCTGTATTCATGCACTCTGCGGATTCTGAGGAAGAATAAATATGTTTACAAAGTGAAAGTAATTAACAGCAAGACAAATCTGGCGCGCACAGATCAGTACTTCTAAATTCTCAGAATTCAGAGGGAACGTGAACACAAAAAAAAATTCTGAAAAACTGATCAGCTAATAACAAAACACACAGTTGACAATTTCATTCATCTCGGACATGTAATTATACAGACTATGTACGTTTAAACCCAACTCTGCGAGGGCAAGATTTACATATGCAGAATGGTTATCATCTTTGGGTGGATCGAATTCTTCTGCGATGGCTAACACATACCTTGACTGAGGACGATCTGAACGAGTATCTACAAAAGATACTTGTGGGTTTCTCATTACTTGTCGAGTACGCAAGGAATAACGACAGTCGGGTTGATTATCTGGCTGAGTATTAGAGGTAGAGGGTACAGAGTCAAGAGGATTGTCAGCGACTGTCACATTAGTCTGGGTAGCAATATCATCAACATCGCATACTAATTTCATGTGATCTAAATGCGATTCTTTGTACTGACCAGTACTAATTTCTCTAACCTTATACTTATTGCCAGTGATATGTTCAACTACTCGATAAGGGCCAACAAACTTTTGATCGAGCTTAGGCATTGCGGATGTTTTGTTGAAATTAGTCAGCATTACTCTCGAACCCACTTTAACTTTTGTTGGCTTAGCATGGCTATTAGTTACTTTAGTAAATTCGCCGTTGATTTATGAAGTGTTTCACGGATTCTTCTAAAAATACTCTGAGCTATGCTGGTACGAGTTGCTATGAATTCATCAGGGTTGTACAGTGGACCCCCGGTTAACGATATTTTTTCACTCCATAAGTATGTTCAGGTGCCAGTACTGACCGAATTTATTCCCATAAGGAATATTGTGAAGTAGATTAGTCCATTTCAGACCCCCAAACATACACGTACAAACGCACTTACATAAATACACTTACATAATTGGTCGCATTCGGAGGTAATCGTTATGCGGGGGTCCACTGTAATTGGGTTTCGGAGTGGAATAACAACTCATAGGGTAAATGCTTGTCTACACCATACAATGCATAATGTGGAGTGTCACCTATGGAAACATTGTAAGCAGAATTTATGGCACATTGAACATCTGGTATAACTTCATCCCAAGTTTCACTATTGGGGTTGATAGTGGCTCTCAAGACATCAAGTACTGTACTTTCTTATTGGTTCATTCAGCTAACCCATTGCTGGCAGGATGATGAGGAACAATGGTGGATTTAGAGATCTTGTACAAGGTACACAAATTTTCAAGAATCTCATTACAGAATTTACCTCCATTATCTGTTACTAAGGACTTAGGGGTGGTATGCCTGCAGATAATGCATTCTTTAAATGCTTTAGCTACTGTCTTAGCAGTCTTATCTGCAATAGGAACTAACTCACAATATCTGGTGAAATGGTCTACCATAACACACAGATGTTTGTTGCCTTGGAGGGAACATTTAAAATTGGTTAACAAATCAAGCGCAACCCTTTCCCATGGTTTGCTAGTGGTTGGATACACCTGGATTGGATTAGGACCATTGACAGTTCCTTTATGCTGCATACAGACACTACATTTCTTAACATAGAAATGTCAGTTGCCATACATGGCCAAAAGTATTTCATTCTGGCTTTTTCACAGAACGATTCATACCAGGGTGTGCAACACCTGGTGCATCATGAACTAGCTGTAGAGCTACATTCACTAGTGACTGTGGAATTACTAACTGGTATACTCTTCTGCCTGGAGTACCCAACTCGGCTGTTTGATGCAGTAATTCTTGACTGATTACAAAGTCACTAATGGGTGCTGGTGGCTTCACAGTCAGAATAAGATCTTCCTGGAGCAGGAATCAAATCACACCAGACCACACAGGATCTGTTCTTTCTTACTGGAGGCATGAACAAACTCGGTGGAGTGGATGACTCTCCCCGGTAGAAAAAATATGCTATAACACGCAATATGAGCAAGGGAGAATGGATCTACTATCTCTCACTGCAAGCAAAGGGAAAAGAAATGAACATGGTCAACAATAATGATATTCAATCTGAGCCGCACACAGTGACATGGTGTATCAACTGTAAAGAGACTGCACATACAAACGTTAACAACATGTGAAAGTTACTCGAGAAACAACTTCTTACATTGCACGAATTACTGTCAACTAGGATGGGATCACCATCTGGAACACAAAGGACAACAATAACACTCAAGTGAGTACACTAGCCACAGAAACGTCTTTCTGCAACAGCTTGTGGCATCAGCAAGAGACAGCATAACTCGTTGTAAGTAAAGTTCTTCTCAAAGCATCCCCTGGGAAGGAACGAATACAGTGGACCCCCGCTTAACGATCACCTCCAAATGCGACCAATTATGTAAGTGTATTTATGTAAGTGCGTTTGTACGTGAATGTTTGGGGGTCTGAAATGGACTAATCTACTTCACAATATTCCTTATGGGAAAAAATTCGGTCAGTACTGGCACCTGAACATACTTCTGGAGTGAAAAAAGTTCGTTAACCGGGGGTCCACTGTACTTGAACAAGTCGCCATCACAGGGATAGTAGTCTCAGCACCCAGGGTTGTCTGAGATTCCTCTGAAACCCAAGGTAACTGTACACTATCCTGCGTGCACGATATTGTGGCTGGAGTCCAGACAGGAGTGACAGTATTACTAGTGCCTGGCCGCTCGGCTACGTTAATAAGTAATTCACGGATCTATAGGACCTTAATCTGAACTTCACATTTCGCAGCACTTTAACAAATCTCAGATACAAGCTGTGAGAACAAACACATTGCTCAAGGGCTAGGTATTGTCTTCCAGTCAGTAAGGGAATATTGGTACTGTGGACTGATTCATATTGACTTTGACTGGCATGATACACTAAGTGAACATTCAAAAGTGACTGGGACATCTTCTCAGGGAACTTACTCAAGGACATAAAGGCAAGAAAATAAAGAGAATATATGACACAGTAAGCTTAAATGGGGAGAAATTACTTATTTAAAAAAATAAGTCACACTGTAAGCAAGGAGAACTCACACACACAAAAGAAAATACTCAACTGAATAAGCAACACTTTGAAAACCAAGAGAAATTGTACTTTACTCAAATCAAATTTACTCAAATTTACTTTAAATTGAATTACTGGCACAGTGAGCTGTCTTTACTCTCAATTCAATAAGAAAATTCAACAGTAAAATGATAAATCAATCAAAAATGTTAAAATGGAATCAATAAAGCTTGTGCAAAATTAAAACAAACTGGGAAAGCAATTCTAAATAAAAAAGATTAAGTAACACACAAGGAACAAAATATTTTGCACAGAAAATGTAAAACTGAAATCACAGAATATTGCACTGAAATAAACTGTAGCAATATTGCAAATAACAATTTCTAATCAAAAGTACTGCACAACACTACATAAAATTTCTGCGAGAAAAATTTTAATGGCAACACAATGTTTACACAAGAATTATTGTAAAATGAGTCATTGTTGCAACGATAAAAAAAAAATTGCACACACAAGAAAATACAGTTTACAAGAGAAAAAAATATCATCAAGGAGTGAACTGATTGAACACTTTAACTCTTAATTGCAGCTTAAGCAAGCACTTACTGAACAAGCAAAAGAATGATTTACTTTAAAAGAAGAACTTAAAAATTGCACTAAGAGTGAATTTGTTCAATGAAATATAAAAATAATACAGTGGACCCCCGGTTAACGATATTTTTTCAATCCAGAAGTATGTTCAGGTGCCAATACTGACCGAATTTGTTCCCATAAGGAATATTGTGAAGTAGATTAGTCCATTTCAGACCCCCAAACATACACGTACAAACGCCCTTACATAAATACACTTACATAATTGGTCACATTCGGAGGTGATCGTTATGCGGGGGTCCACTGTAGATGCAAAAACACAGAACAAAAAGGTTTGAACACTTACAGTGATGCAGAACACAACATACCAATATAAACACAATACTAGAATTTTCTTGCAATGAAACTTGAGGTATGAAAATTTTGGAAAATAATTGTCTTGCTTCAACAAAATAATGGCACTATTGTCTGTGGAGATAAGACAAATTAGACACTGGTTAAATGAACAAGAATTAACACAAGAATCTTCAACACACAGAGAAAAATTAAAATAAAATGGCAAATGAATAAAAACAAAAAACAGCAAGAATACACAAATGCTGGGAGAAAAAATATAACAGACAACACTGAGTTGTGATGCAGAATATAAGGTAATAAATTACTGAATTACTTCACTGCAATACTGTGAACACAAGATAATTGTGAAGTGTAAACACAAGTTTATACTGCTTATATATTGCACACAACAAGGAAAAACACTAAAGTACTTACTTCAAATATATATAAAAAAAGAAGCACAACACAACAGACATAAAACAAAGCACGAAAATTAACACTGAAGAAAGAGGGGAAAAAGAATAATATTGCAAACAGTATATAATAAACACTGAGTCTAATCAAGAGTCACTGAATGTCACTAAGAAATCACTGGAAACACAAAAAAAAAAATACGTCTCAACACTTGCAAATGTCTCTATGAAAAAAATATTATTCGTTAACACTGTAGCGATGTTGTAGAATGAGGTGGATGGTAGTGGTGGAGTCTCGTGGCTGGCGGCGTTCCTACTCCACACGTGATGCCTCAAAGAATTTGCGCTTAAGTGAGGTGAAAGTGTTGAATGATGAAAGTATTTTCTTTTTGGGGATTTTCTTTCTTTTTGGGTCACTGTGCTTTGGTGGGAGATGGCCGACTTGTTGAAAAAAAAGAAATCTTAAAGTGAATAATTGTAATATTTATTTTTTGAAGGCATTAGAACTATATTTGCTGGATCTAGCTGCAATGATCTTGTAGCATCAGACAGTGCAGCAACAACAATAATATCAGGCCATTTTGATAAGAAGATTAGATTTTGGGATACTCGAACAGAGCAATCAGCAAATGAGGTGCCACTTCAAGGGAAAATTACTTCATTATCTTTGTCAAGAGGTAAGTTACAAAGATTAGTATTACTGAAGAAATATCAATATATTGTCTGTTAATTATATTTAGCTCTCAAATATTATGTACCAAGAACATTATGCTTTATAAAAGGCTTAATTATAGTAATATAATCTTCCTCCACCATGTGCACTTGCTTATTCCAGCAACATATTTCTCTGCTATATTTCTAAGTTTGAGCTCAGTTACTGATTTGAAACATTTGGTACAGTCTGTTTCTTTGCTACTCTGACTATATGACTAAGTTGCTTTATGTAATCTCCCAATCTCCCATTAATCATCAGTGTCCTAAATCTTTATAATACAGTATCAGTGTCACCAGTCTTCATAACAACCTTTACTATTGTGTTCATTCTAAGTGAACACACTCCAGCAAACTGTCTGCATGCATTTTCTTATTATCATCTCTGATTTTTTTTGCAATCAATAATGGAAGAAAAAATAACATTGTAATATTTGACATTTTGAAAAACTTATCCACTAATTGTCATCTACATTTATAGCTTCTTTTCACATTAACCCGTAAACGGTCCAAACGTATATATACGTTCACTGCCGTACTGCCCCAACTTTTTTGAGAAAAAAAAACATTGTTGTTTTTTAATAGGAAAAAAGAGCATATGGTACCCAGGCAACCCCAATTATTTTAATATGGTGCACAGTGAGTGCTCACACCCATTCTCACATGTCTAGGTGACTCAGGCTTATCGTGGCAATGTTAAATGTAGGACACATAAAACGTATATATACATTTGGGGCACTAGCGGTAAAAACGTATATATACGTTTGGACCATTTACGGGTTAAATGTGTAGGAATAATGGTAAGCAAAGGTCTTTTGTAATAAGTACATTTATAAGTTATGATGTGCTAAAAATTATTGTTTACTTGACTGTCTTATGGAGTTATAGTATTTCCTCACATCACTTGCTTTACACATAATTTTAGTACATTTGCTTGTGAACCTTGTGGTCTTCAGTGAAGGATGGTAGATCAAAGCTTTCACATTGCACTTGACCCTAGTTCTTCCATATACACTTAATATCACCCATTAATTTGTGAACATATTCTATCCATTCTGTCCTGTGTGGATTTCACTTTGTCTTGCTAGCACCCTCATCTTTACCTCGTACTTTTTTTTTTTTAAGACTTCTTCATATTTCATTATTGTAACACTGATATTGAATAAGATGCTACTATTTGCTTCCTTTCAGATGGATTTTATCTACTAAGTTGTGTACGTGATGATTCCCTTAAAATTTTGGATCTTCGGAAAAACCAAGTGATAAATACATTCACGTAAGTATTCATTACATTTTATTCTTCATATTCTTAAATTTAGAATTATTCATTTAAGAAAGCAAGAGGAACACTGACTTGAGTACAGCAGTATTAAGAAAGTTTCAGAAGTATAGTACAGGTATTTTTTGTAACACTGGCTTTCTCCCACTGAGGTAAGGTTACCCAAAAAAGAGGTAACATATTTACTGTTGCTCATTCAATCACTGTCTTGCCAGAAGCATGCTAATATCACAGTTAATATGGTCCTCTGAACTGTAACGTCCCCATCCCTCTTTCAGAATGCTGGCACTATATTTCCCATCTCCAGGACTCTAAGTCCAGCAAGCTGTTTTCCAAGATTCTCTTCATATATATTTCCTTGTTCACACCTCAACAGCACATCAAGTCATCAAAGCCACTTCTCTGCATTCATTCCTATCTAATGCACTCACACAGGTGTTGGATATCTGAGCCCCTAGCACTCAAAACCTCTTTTTACCCCTTCCCCCTCTCTCCAACCCTTCTTGTGATGACCCCTATCCATCTTTCTTTCCATCCCAGATAATACACTCTACTAATCATATTTTGTTACAGCCTCTTGAAATGTCTAAACCACTTCAGCACTATGAATAAGTCTTTTGGTAATCCTTCTTAACAATGACAACAATAACAAATTAGATAAGTTTAGATTTTGAAAGAATATAGGAAAGTATTGGTTTGGTAATAGGGTAGTTGATGAGTGGAACAGTCTGCCTAGTAGGGTTATTGAAGCTAAAACGTTGAGTACATAGTTTCAAATTTAGGTTGGTAGACAGCAACCACCCAGGGAGGTACTACCGTCCTGCCAAGTGAGTGTAAAACGTAAGCCTGTAATTGTTTTACATGATGGTAGGATTGCTGGTGTCTTTTGTCTGTCTCATAAATATGCAAGATTACAGGTACGTCTTGCTACTTCTACTTACACTTAGGTCACACTACACATACATGGACACGTTTATTTATACACACTCATCTGATTTTTCTTTGATTTTATCTTAATAGTTCTTGGTCTTATTACTTTTCCTTTTATATCCATGGGGAAGTGGAATAAGAATCTTTCCTCCGTAAGCCATGCGTGTTGTAAAAGTCAACTAAAATGCCGGGAACAATGGGCTAGTAACCCCTTTTCCTGTAAAGATTACTAAAAAGAATAAGAAGAAGAAAATTGTCAAAGTGGGAAGTCTGAATGTGCGTGGATGTTGTGCAAATGATAAGAAGAGATGATTGTGGATGTTATGAATGAGAAGAAACTGGATGTTCTGGCTTTAATGGAAACAAAGCTGAAGGGGTGGGAGAGTTTCAATGGAGAGGAATAAATGGGATTAGGTCAGGGGTTTCAAATAGAGTTAGAGCTAAAGAAGGAGTAGCAATAATTTGAAGGATAAGCTATGGCAGGAAAGAGGGACTACAAATGTATAAATTCAAGGATTATGTGGAGTAAAATAAAGATTGGATGTGAAAAGTGGTTATAGTAAGCGTGTATGCACCTGGAGAAGAGAGAAGTGTAGAGGAGAGAGAGAGATTCTGGGAAATGTTGAGTGAATGCGTGGGGAGTTTTGAATCAAGTGTGAGAGTAATGGTGGTTGGGGATTTCAATGCTAAAGTGGGTAAAAATGTTATGGAGGGAGTAGTAGGTAATTTTGGGGTGCCAGGGGTAAATGTAAAGGGGGAGCCTTTAATTGAGCTATGTTTTAGAAAGAAATTTGGTAATAAGAAATACTATTTTATGAAAGAGGATAAAAAAAATATACAAGGTATGATGTAGCAAAGTAAGAAAGTAGTTTGTTAGATTATGTATTGGTGGATAAAAGGTTGATGGGTTTGGCTCCAGGATGTACATGTTTATGAGGGGCAACTGAATATCGGATCATTATTTAGTTGTAGCTACAGTTAGAGTAAGAGGGAAATGGGAAAAGAGGAGGTGGCAACAACAAGTAAGAGGGAGGTGAAAGTGTATAAACTAAGGGAGGGGGAAGTTTAGGGCGAGATATAAGCGACTATTGGCAGAAAGGTGGGCTAGTGCAAAGATGAGTAGTGGGGGGGGTTTAAGAGGGTTGGAATAGTTTTAAAAATGCAGTATTAGAATGTGGGGCAGAAGTTTGTGGTTATAGGAGGGTGGGGCAGGAGGAAAGAGGGGTGATTTGGGGGAATGATGAGTAAAGGGTGTGATAAAAGAGAAAAAGGTAGCTTACGAGAGGTTTTTACAAAGCAGAAGTGTTATAAGAAGAGCAGAGTATATGGAGAGTAAAAGAAGGTGAAGAGAGGGGTGAAGAGTGCAAAGGAGAGCAGATGAAAGAGGGGAGAGGCACGTCAAAAAATTTTTAATAAAAAATAAAAAAAAAATTTTGGAGGAGTTAAACAAGTTAAAAAAGGCCTAGGAAAGAAAAGGATTTGTCTTTTTAAAAACAAGTGGGGGAGTTAGTAATGGGAGGGGGAGGTATTGGGTAAGGGGCGAGAATATTTTCGAGGAAAATTTTTAAAATTTTTAAGGGAAGAAAGGGAGGCGGTAAAAACATGCACTGGCCAGGGAGGAATCCATTTTTTGGGAGGAAGAAGAGCAACTGTAAGTGGGGGGAGGTATGACATTACGTAAAATAAAAGGGGGGAAAGCACGGAATGAGGGGGATCATGCAAAATTTAAAAGCGGGGGGAATATAGTTTGGAGGGGTTGGTACTTTTGTTTTAAAAAATGTATAAAAGGGGGGGAAGGTACCTAGGGTTGGGGGAGAGCATGTATGTCCCTTTATATAAAGGGAAAGGGGGGACAAAAGAATTGTAAAAATTAAAAGGAATAAGTTTTACTGATATCCCAGAAAATATACGGTAGGGTTAAAATTTTGAAAAAATTAAAGGGTAAGACAGAATGTAAAATGCGGACGAACAAGGGTTTCAAGTGGGGGGGGATGTGTAGATCAAGTGTTTACATTGAAGCAATATGTGAACAGTATTTTGAAAAGGTAGGGAAGTTTTTATTGCATTTATGGTTTTTTGAAAAGGGATATGATAGAGGGAAGAGGGGCAATGTGGCAAAGTTGCAAGTATATGGAATAGGTGGTAATTTCAAATGCTGTAAAGACTTTTTTTGGGATGTGAGGCTCAGGTTAGGGGGTTTAGAAAAAAGGAGAACTTTCCCGGGGAAAAAGTAGTCTTAGACAGGGGGTGTGTAATTCACCAGGTTGTTTAATATATTTATAAAGGGGTTGTAAAAGAAGAAATGCTAGGGTGTTCGGGGGAGGGGTGGATTAAATTATGGGGGAAACAAATTCAAAATGGGGAATTTACCCAGTTACTTTTTTGATGATACTGTACTTATGGGAGATTCTAAAGAAAAATTGCAAAGGTTAGGGATGAGTTTTAGAATTTGAAAGGTAGAAAGTTAAAGTGAAAAAAGAAAAAAGGGAAGGAGAGGGGACAAATGATTTTGATAAAAAAAAATTGGGTACAAATTGGGGGGGGGAGTATGGAAGAAGTGAAAAGTTTTCAGAACTTGGGAGTTGACGTGTCGGCGGATGGATTTATGAAGGATGAGGTTAATCATAGAATTGATGAGGGAAAAAAGGTGAGTGGTGCGTTGAGGTATATGTGGAGTCAAAAAACGTTATCTATGGAGGCAAAGAAGGGAATGTATGAAAGTATAGTAGTACCAACACTCTTATATGGATGTGAAGCTTGGGTGGTAAATGCAGCAGCGAGGAGACGGTTGGAGGCAGTGGAGATGTCCTGTCTAAGGGCAATGTGTGGTGTAAATATTATGCAGAAAATTCGGAGTGTGGAAATTAGGAGAAGGTGTGGAGTTAATAAAAGCATTAGTCAGAGGGCAGAAAGGGGTTGTTGAGTGGTTTGGTCATCTAGAGAGAATGGATCAAAGTAGAATGACATGGAAAGCATATAAATCTATAGGGGAAGGAAAGAGGGTAGGGGTCGTCCTCGAAAGGGTTGGAAAGAGGGGGTAAAGGAGGTTTGTGGGTGAGGGGCTTGGACTTCCAGCAAGCGTGCATGAGCGTGTTAGATAGGAGTGAATGGAGACGAATGATACTTGGGACCTGACGATCTGTTGGAGTGTGAGCAGGGTAATATTTAGTGAAGGGATTCAGGGAAACCGGTTATTTTCATATAGTCGGACTTGAGTCCTGGAAATGGGAAGTACAATGCCTGCACTTTAAAGGAGGGGTTTGGGATATTGGCAGTTTGGAGGGATATGTTGTGTATCTCTATACGTATATGCTTCTAAACTGTTATATTCTGAGCACCTCTGCAAAAGCAGTGATAATGTGTGAGTGTGGTGAAAGTGTTGAATGATGATGAAAGTATTTTCTTTTTGGGGATTTTCTTTCTTTTTTGGGTCACCCTGCCTCGGTGGGAGACGACCGACTTGTTGAAAAAAAAAAAAAAAAAAAAAAAAAATACATGAGTGAGATGGGTTGGATTTGATTGAGACTTGCATAATGAGTAAATAGAATCATCAAAACTTATTTCTTGGGTAGCATTAAAAATGGGGTTGGGCAAATATTTTGTTTGTGGGAAAGATTGTAAAGGACCTGCCTAGCATGGGCCAACAGGCCTGCTGTAGTGTTCCTCCTTTCTTATGTTTTTATTTTAGCATGGTACATGTTTGTATAAAGGAGTGTAACAATTTGGTGAACATGCCAAAAGCCCCTTTATAAGCAGAGCATTTTGGGCAAGCTTAAGACTAACTTAAGATAAATAAGGCAATAACAGTGCTGTAATTGTACATATGGTCATTAGGTGAGTTACAGTGAATACAGGAAAATTGAACATTCAACTAGTTCACACTAATTGAACGTTCAACTAGTTCACACTATATGGCTTTAATAAGTACGGTAGAGAAGAATTACAGTTTCAGTATACTACAGTGAAATCCCAGGTTTTGGCCGCCCTGGGAATCGGCCACTTTGGGTTTCGCTCGCTTTTTTTGGTCAGATTTTGTCCCACATTTCAGCCGTTGGCCCAGGTTTCAG